AACTTCTATACTCTCTACTCTCAAACTGTTTAGATGCTTTAAATGAAACATCTCGGGTGGTGGCCGTGAGCAAAAGTAAGCCAGTTTCCCTCCTTCCCCAAGTCTATGATGTCGGCTACCGCTGTTTCGACGAGAATTGCGTCCAAGAGAGAGCCTCTCAGGTTCCCATCATAACCATAGACAATTTAACGTATTTTGTAGTTGAATATTCTGACTGGATTTTGATTTTTCCATGGGATTCTTATGGTCTAAAGTGAATCGAAGATTTTGCTAGGAGAAAGTGAAGGGATCGTTTAGAGTTTTTTTTTGATTTGGAATAAAAAGTTTCACAATGCAAGATTGATTTACAAGTTTGGGATTATGGGAGTCGTTAGAGTGAAGAGAGAGCCATGTTGATGATGCAATCAAGTGCATTGGCTTCTTTAAAGGATATTTTTGTCAAGTTAATGTTCAAATCACAGCGAAGTTTTTTTGCAATATCAAAATCTCTTTCAGTTCTTTTTCTTTCTCATAAACCTTTTTGCATGTATCATGTATGAAGATGATGTGCATTGAGTTGGTTGCTAACTTTTACCTTTTTGTCGTTTTCTTGAAATTTCTATCATTTATTTTTGTGACAGACATCACTTTTTAATAAAAGTGACATTGAAACTACGTAAAATTAAATAAAAAGTGATGTCACTTCTTTATCATTGTGTCACTTTTTATCAATTTTATACAATTTTTTTACTTCTAAAATACTTTTTATATGATTTTTTGAAAGACCCCTAATTTTAGGGGTATTTTCGTAAGTTGCCCATTTGCCATCCTCACGGATCCCACGATTCCCACCGCTGTGTGCACTATATACCCGCGAGGTGATAGAACATGGGCCAGAAGAATAGATCAAGTTCAAGTGTAGTACATGGCCCAATAATTCTTGCTAGGATTGCCCATAAATCAATGAAATGGCCGATCATTGGATCTGTTCCAATGGAAAGTTTTCTTTTGGGCTAGGACAGATAGCCCATTTTCTTCTAATTATCATCACATACATCTTAAAAGTACTTCATTCTTGCAAAATAAAACGTGTGGGAAAAAAAAAGTGAAAATTACAAGGACTAATGTTTTCAAGATCAAATCTCATAATTAAGAGAGACAAGTTTTTTTTTTT